TGTCATACGCATGCGCACACGCGCACGCGCATGCACACGCACAAACGCACGCACAAAAATTTAACTTTAAGTGGGGGGGGGAAGGAAAAGAAAAGAAAAATTTCGACATTTTGATTTTTCAACGTTCATTCAACGAATGAAAGGATTAGAATTAATAATAATAATAATAAACGGAAATTTCAGGTACACGACGAAAGAAGGAAAATGTTGACAATTAATTAATGTATGATAATGATAATGATAATAAATAACACAAAATATTAAGTTAAATGTTTAAAAGAAAAAAAAAAAGAAAAAAGACAAAAGAAGAAAAATTAATTTGGGGCTTTAAAAATTTCTTTGGTAAATGTAGAAAAAAAAAAAAGGGGGACCGAAATGGGTGTGGGAAGGGGGCGAGAGGGGAGGGGAGTGAAGGGGAGAAGGAGGAGAGGGGAGGTTTTTTGTTGGAGGCAAAGGACCCCGCACACATCGATTGATCTTTTCTCAGTCGTCTTAAACCATTTACATTTTTTCATTAATTTTCTTTCCTTTTTTTTTTCTTTTCTTGTACCTGGTTTTGTGTTGTCTTTCTTTTTTTTTTCCACTGAATAAAATTTATCAAAGTCAAAACCGGTAGCTAAAAGATAATACAAAATGATATAGAAAAATACCGGATACGGATACAAGAAAATTTAAAAAGTGGTAAAAGGAATGACTAAACCTTTGTCTCCATCCGATCTTTTTCATTTATTATTATTATTATTTATCCCTCTCGGCCCCGCTCCCGCCCCTACCACTACCCGAAATTAAATATATATATTTAAATTTTTTTTCCCCCCCAAAAAAATTAAATTGGAATTTAAATTTCAATTAAAAATTAAAATTAAAAAATTTTTTATTGTTGAATGGTTATAATGATAATAATAAAATGGCGGCGATTCGACTGAGAAAAAAAAAAAATTTTTGATTTTCGTGTGTGGGTCTAACAATGATTAACCTCAAATAATAATAATGATAATAATAATAATAATGATTATTTCAGGATAAATAAGCAAATAATAGAAAATTTGACGTTTTTTTTATTCTTTTCAAATTCTTTAGACGGTTTTTGTATTTTTGTTTCTCCATATTTGTCTTCATCTCTCATCGACGGTTAGAACTTTTTTTTTTTTATTAATTTCAACCGGAAAAGGTTACAAAAAAATTATGTCGGAACCGGTTTTTCAGAAAAAAAAAAAACAAAAATTTTTCATGATGGGCCCATCTTATCTGGCCCGAAGGGGTTCACATTCAAGACCACCAAACAAGACTTAATTTATATCATCAACAGAAAAAATTCTGGAGAAAATAAAAAAGTAAAAACGAGGGGGAGAGGGATGTAGAAATATTAAGGTAAGCCTATTGTTTGTTTGTTTGTTTGTTATAATCATTTGTTTGGCTGGAAAAAACGTTTGCTCCCGATTATGATAAACGAACGATATCCGGGAAACGTATAAAAACATTTTATCAAAAAAAAAAATTTTTTTTTTTTTTTTCTATCCTGTTCATTTGGGCTTTTTGATAATCGGTTATCGTCTGTATTTTTTTGTCTTTGTCTTTGTTTGTTTGTTTGTTTGTTTTCTTTTAATAAACATCTTTTTCCACAAATTATTTTTGAATTTTTTCCCATAGAAAAAAAAAATAATTTTTTTTTAAATATATTAAATAACGACTTAATTTTATAATTAAAAAAATTCTCCAGCGACCTTCGAAAAACGGGTATGGGAACATGAAGAAGAAATTTCCCGGCGCTCAGGGGCTTTATGGGTTGGTTTCCCTTTTTTTTTTTTTTTTTCTAACTCGTACCTAGTCATAATTTTAAATATTCCGGAAATAGGAAAGGAGTAGTACCAAAATAAAAAAGATGATGATGAAGAAGAAGAAAAAAAATGAAAGAAAAAAAGACAAGCGTAAGGCAAGGCATTCGATGTGGGAACCACATGTTAGGAAGACAATTCGGGTCGAAAGGTCATCGAGTTTTATTTTGATGCTCGAAGGAAGGACCAGAGTACCCATTAAATGATTAAACTGTATGAGATCTATAATTGTTAATTGTGCGTTTCACTTGAGAAAAACCATCATTTTGTTGTTGTTGGTTAAAACACCCGTGATTTCAAAAGAGGAGGAGGAGGAGGGGGTGGTAGTGGTGGTGATGGTGGTGCCTTTCATACCAACAAAAAACAAATTATGTTGACAACAAATTGTTGTAAATGACACCGATACAAAAAAAAAAAAGGAATTAAAAATCGAAGGTTGACTGTTTTTAATCGGTCCAAATTTAACACCTACAAAAAAAGCTTCTTTAAATTCAAGGTTTAACATCGGGTACCTAAACTTGTGGGTAGCACCATCAAAAAAAAAAAAAAAGAAAAACTCATTTTCTGTCATGTAAAACTTATTATTTTAAATCAATTTTTTCTTTTTTTTTTTTTTTTTTTAATCGACATTACGCCTTTGCAATTATTTCATACGACAATAATAATAATAATAATACTTTTTGCTGTTTTTTTTAAACAAGTATCAAATCGTGGTAGAAACAAAGATGCGTCAAAAAAATGATTTTGTTACATAATTAATAGGTGAAGAGAATTTTTCTTAATTGGTACTTGTCATGGAGGAGGAAGAAAAACAACATGACAGATTAAACAACAAAAAAAACTTGAAATCAATGTTAAAAAAAAGAAAAAAAGAAGCGTCAACGAGTTAACTACCATTCATATTAATACCCTGTTTATCTTCTCTCTCTCTCTCTTAAATAATAATAATAATAATATTTTTTCCAGAAAAATTTTCCATGAGAATTTATATATATGTAAATTTTTATATGGAAAAGAGGAAGTACCCGTTCTGTCATTTATATTTACACGAAATAATATTCGAGTTTAAAAAGATAATAAAAGGGATCGTGGCAGCAGTAAAAAATAAATTAAAG